TCCATGGTGCCTGTTTTATGTCCCTTAAGACATGATCACATGAATATAAGTATCACAATCACTCTACAGGGAAGAGCAAACTTACTGGCATACATTGTTGTAGAAAACACCTCAGTTAATCATCCACCTTAGCACTATGCCTCTCCTTGATTGTGGGTCTACTTCAGGTACTCTTAAAATGGAATAGGTTCCCCCATTGGGCACTCGATATACACATGACCATAGGTCGTAGCCACAACACATGTAGCAACATTCATCTAAACAACACATCACTTCTTTAAATTACGTTAGAAAAATATTTAAGTTTCCTCAAATCAGAACCAAAATTTGTAATATTGGACCCAAAAAGTCAAACTTAAAGACCATTTTGTGATGGTGGAAAATTACATTGTCTGCAGCAAAAAAACCCCAAACCAGATCCAGATATAATATGTTAAACGCCTCGCACACCTCTAGAAGGGGGGGTGAATAGGGTTGTTCTTCAAAAATCAAAACTTTTGGAAGATTAAACAAAAAATTCGCACGATTATGTCAACCACAAGAAGACAAAGAAGAAGAGAAGGAGCAACACACGATGTATACTGGTTCGGCCTAAATGCCTACATCCAGTCCCCGAAGAAATCGTGCCCAGGCCTTCACTAACCCGTCAAACTTAACGGAGTTTGACCATCCGAATACAACTCGAGAACTTGATTTCACAAGCCTCTTATCTTACCACCGAAGTTTTGATTTCACAAAACTCAGGATTTCTTCCACCTAACGTTTGATTTCACAAACCGTTAGGATTTCTACCACTTGATGTAATCCCAACACCAAGAATACAAAACTCTTACAATAAAGTAAGAAAACAAACCGCAACCGAGTAATTCTCCCAACACGGAGTAGATTGTTGCAAATACAATGAAGTCCTTTAGAATATGGCAATATCTCTCGAAGACTCAAGAAATGAGGAAAAAACTCAAGCAAGAAATGATTTAGCAATCAAAACAATTGCCTTGCTTGGATATAAGAAGGGGATTGAGTAGAATCTCTTTGGATATTCAAAGGATATGTTTTGAAGTGTTTTCAATGTATATTCTTGGCCAAAAACACGAGATAGAGTAGTTTATAGAAGATAGGGAGTGGATAGGGATGAAAAGCATTCAAAAAACTAGCCGTTTGGTAGTTGAAACTGTCGAACTATTCGACTAAATCAAGATTTAGTCGACTAGTTTTGGTGAAACTGCAATCTGACTTATTCAACTAGTTCTAGATTTATTCAACTAAGTCAAAATAGAATTTCAGGGATTTATTCGAATAGTTTCCAATTTATTCGAATAATTTGCTGGAAAAAAATGTGTTTTGAAGGTAGGATGATAAGGGAATGAACCTTAGAGATGCCATACTCTTTAACACAAAATCTAAGACTTAAAATACTACCCAACTAAGGAAACAACCTCTTCGGTCTCGTTCCTTCCACCGATGCTCAAGTCCCTTCTTCACGGACGGATATGAATTTGTTGTAGCTTTGATTCTTAGCCTTGATGCACAAAATGATAATGATGTTTTGTCACCTTTTTGTCATTATCAAAACCTAAAAGACAATGGGCAAAGGACATTGCAAAAATACATATTCATGATAGCACATTGTCCAACATAATATTGCATACAAGAGCTAAATTTGAAATCTCTAAATTACAACGATATTAATATACTCCATCCGTCCCATAGAATTCTCGAGAGTTTGACTTCAAAGAATTTAAGAAAGTTGTTGAAAAAGAAAAAAGTGTGTGGTTAGAATTTGTTCCGATGAGAGGGAATTGTGGGTAGGTACATATTCATTATAACTATAGAAAATAAAGTAACTAATAATTTTTTTTGAAAGGTCCGAAAATTAAAATATTCTATAAAATAAAGTATGATAACATCCAACCAACTAACCAAGCCTTAATTCTGAATCCATGGCGTTGCCAACTTGAGCCAAATGAAAATCTTGCACAAAGTTCTATTTTTACTTTCTTTTATGTCATTATATCTAAGATTAACCAAAAATATAGATACAAATTTAGATGTGCTTGGATAAAAAATGACTAGAAAGAGAAGTGCTTGGATAAAAAAATGACCCATTAATTTGAAGGCTGATTTGTTAACAAACATTGTTTAGGGCCAAAAGGTGAGGTTAAAGGTGAGGAACAACAGACCGTTTGTAGAAATATCAGTATATCACTAAACCTGCACTCAGCTATCATGATTTAATATATCCTTATAAAGAAAATTCACTTAAACATATTATGAATGCGAACACGAATGCATCAGACCTTTGATCTTGGTGTCGGCTTCAGAAAGAAGGGTGAAGATATTCTCCATGGCCAACTAAGTTCAAAGCAATTAAGTGACCTATAAAAGAAGAAATACAACTAAAGATAAGATGACTACGAGTTATTTACTGTATCTATGACAAGGAGAATTCAAGACTTATACAACCTCAAAAAAGACCTTACCAAAAGTACTCGTTGAAATCATCATAATTTCTCCAAGCTGAATGAGG